CCTTCAAAGCAACTAACCTTCTTCAATCTGGTTCCGATTTTTATCAGCCTTGCTAAATTATTCAACAGTCAGAAGGGCACTAGATGGAACTTTTACTAAAAAACTGGGGGGGGGGGGGAATAGCTAGCCATAGTTACTAAAATTCTTGTAAGACATATTTTCAGGCCAGCAAATGAGTCCACTAGTGGAGCTTTCACTCTCTTTAATGTGCTACAGAAGGCTCTCTTGTATTGCATCCCACAGTCACTAACCAAGCTCGTGCCCTATCCACATGCAATTTAGAGGTGGGGAGTACAGTAATCTGTAGTCGTGTTGAGAGTTAATCTCCAAGAATTACCAGGCAGCCGTCTGCCATAGAGACTTGGGAACTCTGATCTCAAGAGAAACGGATGGCCCCGGACTGGGAAAGGGATATTGATGGAAGCATTCAGACCCAGCAAAAAAACGCGTCTTCCTCCTCGCGAGGAGGCTATGTAGACCTCGCCTACTCCGAAGCTCCCAACCCCAGCAGCACCACCGCCCAGTGCAAGAACGGCGCGACGGGACCCCGAGAAGCCCCGGTCGAGCTCAGCCAGCTCTCCCCCGCATCACTTACGAACGTCTGAAGCAGGAACCCGAAGCCACGCGACACGCCCAGCGAATCCGCCGGACAGCAGTGACTGTCAGCGGAGAGACTTCCGGCCGATGGCCCGCCCCCTCAGGCTCCACCCCCTCCAGTGATTGCTTCGTGGCGTCCCTTTTCTTCCTGCCGGGTTTTGCCCTCTCGCTCGTTTCCCGAGTGTGGGGGGCTTGCCTTCTGCTTTGCCTTGTGAATTATGAGCTTAAAGGCGAGCTGCAGGGTTGAACGGGTCTATTGGTTATTGGCCCGAGGTAGTTGCCAACTTTCCTTTGAATTACCGCCCCTGTTGAGAGGATTCTCGATGAAACGCGCCGGTTCTGGGACAAACATAAGCTATGCTTCTTCCCATTTTTCAAGACTTCTCAGCCTGTCCGTTCCGAAGGAGGACATCCCTGTAGGTAGAAAGGAGCAAAAATATTCTCCAATCGCCCAGGGCCCGTTTTTAGCCGCCTGGAACTACTATGAGGAGAGTCAGTGATAATATAACCACGTGGTTACATTTCTTTTATTGTGGGTAGGCTTAACTTCTGTACTAATTTGGAAAATTAGAGCAGCGCAAATATTTCGTTTTTAATATCATTTTATTTTAAGCTTTAAAAATAGGAAAGTTTTAAAAACGAGTTAAAAAGTGCAAAAGAAAAAAGAATGGGAAAATGGGAAAAAAGATACAAAGAAGTAGTTTTAAATCTACTGTAGTATTATAACTATGAATTTACTCTTCTCTAAAGTTACATTGTTACTCTCTTCTTTCTATAATTTATCCTACTGAAAGTTCAAAACCATAGATCCCCAAGTTCTTCCTTTTTTTTAACCCAAAAAGTTCACAAGGGATTTCCAATCAGCAGTTCAGGTAGTCAACTTCAGACTACAATAGTGCCCCAAATTTCTGTTGCTAAGTGAGACATTTCTTAAGTTTTCCTTCATTTTACAACCTTTCTTGCCACAGTTAATGAAGTACTGCAGTTGTTAAGTTACTACAGATAACCCTCAATTTACAATCACAATTGAGCCCAAAATTTATGTTTTAAGTGACACATTTGTTAAGTGAGTTTTGCCCCATTTTATGACCTTGCCACAGTTGTTAATAGAATCACTGGAGTTGATAAGTTAGTAATCCAGTTGTTAAGTGAATGTGGCTTCCCCATTTTGCTTATCAGAAGATTGCAAAAGGGAGACAGCAATGGTCATAAATAAGAAACAGTTGCCACACATCTGAATTTTGATCACAGGATTATGGGAACATCACAATGGTCAAGAGTGTGAAAAAAAATATACGTCATTTTTTTCAGTTCCACTGTAACTTTGAACGGTCACTAACTGAACTGTTGTAAGTCAAGGACTACCTATAAATGTAAAGGTAGTGTTTTGCATGCTATGAAAGATAAAATGATTTTCTGGTTCACATTTCTAACATAGATTTAAAATATCTTTATAAGCTGTAGATAATTTTTCTGGTGTCGTGTATCAATGGTACATCATTGTTTAAGACTGTAACATAGTATAAATTTCAGTCTTATCAACACATATGTTCCCATTGTTCAATCAGTATATTATGACCAAATTTTATCCCACTTTATTGTGCATTCTTTCACTTGTTCTCTTTCAAATTTCAGTAAAAGTTTATACATTTTAACAATCACATGTTCATAATTTGTTACAATTCCATTTCCAAGTCAATGTTACTATATTCAATACCATACATTATTTTGTGTACCCATCATTCCTGTGGTTTTATTAGCCTTTCTGTGCTTTTATTATGATCCATAAAGCCCTTTATAGCTTAGCACCTAATTACCTTCAGGATTGTTTATTCCAACTGGAATTGGACTAAGCTATAAAATCACTCCAGGAGAAATAGCTGCGGAAGGCTGTATTCAGTAGGGCTGAAAACAAGGTGCTGCTTCTCAGTAGCAGCTTTGGTACTATGGCATTTTCAACTGGAAATCAGACTGGCTCCTGTGAGGAGTGTCTAAGAAATGCTAAAAATAGTGGTCTCACAGAATATTTATAATTTATAATTAGCTAATGATGTATATTGATTTTAATACATATATTGTTTTGCAAGCTGCAACTGACTCAGGACACAACAGAATGCAATTTTAATAAATTATATTGATTTAACAAGCTTTTTCTGTACTGTGGATGTTTTGGGTAATTTTTTGGAAAGAAGTGTGTATGTATGATACGGATACTGATGAGTATTTTTCATTGTAATGTAGCACAAAAGTCAATAAATGTTTATGCCTGCTGTGTGTGTATTATATACATATATATGTACAAACACACACATGTACATATACATATGCAAATACACATGCATACATACATACCTATATATAAAGGTTTTCTAGCACTGGATTATAGACTTGGATAAAGATTTTCTTGTTACTCTAACACGTGTCATAATCCACTATCCAGGAGTTCTCACATTATTTATATGTTTTACAGTTTATAACATACAGTAGGATACAACCCTTTTAAAGCCAGGGACTGTTCATTTCTTAAGTTATATATAATTTATAAAAAATAAATCTTAGTTAATCCAATTATCCCTGTGAATCTTAATAAAAATTAAGATTTGGCAGCAACTTTTGAATAAAGTCAGAGGCCCTATATACTGTGATCTTAGAGACTGTACATTAATGCACTATAGTTCCCCATGAGCCTCTTTTAAATTTTTTTGATTGAACTTGAATGTCACAGTATTTAAAAACTTTGGTTTTCTCACTGTTCCACTTTGCTCAGCACAGATAAGTCATGCAGCTGAATATAAAGCTATATTCAGTGCCTCTTTATCACTTTTGAAAAAAAGAAAGACCATGTTCACATTTGGAACCTGTTATTTCAAAACAAATGGAAGGGGCAGTCCCTGTTAACTATAAACTATTAGGATTGCAAATATATTGTATGCAACGAGTACCTAATAGTCAGCAGCTGCCTCACAAGTAAGAAGACAAAGTGACAACGGGTCTAAACCACATTATCTTATTGCTCCATCAGAATATTGGTTTACTTTTAGACAAAAGTAAGTAGACAAAAAAGGGAAGTCAACATTCAAGATTATTTTGAGGCATGGGGCAGGTCAGGAAACAGGCTGTACTCAGTAGTTACCCATTTGGGAGTTGGCCTCCTGCTTAAACAACTAAAGTCAACAAAAGTGGACTTTGTTGTTATATGATCTTATGTAGCTAAAGCCCAATCAGAGAAATCCATTCTACAATTGGGAATCACATGTGCTTTAATAGCTAATTCTTAGAAATGAGAACCATACATACAAACAATATAGCTAAAGTGCATTCTTAAGGATAATGATTTAGAAGTAAATCTTTTTGAAACAGGATTTCTGATTAAACACGACTAGGGATTTTTGCACCAAATGAGTCAAATGCTCTTGAAAATCTGCTCCAGGAAACAACAATTCAGCATGCAACACAAAGATAAAATGTTTCTTAAAGAGTTGAATGCACGACGGAATTGAAGATGAAAGTGATACATTTTGTAAGCATTTCCTTTTACTATTCCAATATGGCTTCCTACACTTTTGCTAAATGTGAGAACAGTGGCTCTTGCTACTATAAATGCTAACTTTTAATGGGAAGGAAAGTATATGTATTGTACAAAGGAAAAACTACACCTGGAAGGATATACTCTCACCAGCATTAATGCTATTAATGCTATGTTATTAAGTTAGCAAAATGCACCAGTTTAAATTTTGTAATTTAAATTTTTAAGATAAAAAAGAATGACTTCACATAAAAGTAATCATTTTGAGGGTTATGACAAAAAGGCAGAAGTTTTTTTTTAAATAAATATTTAATTAAAATACTTACAAAAATTGCAGACCAAGTAACAAATCATTTTCATCAGCACTGATCAATCAAATCATCCTAAATTGACATTTCAATCCAATTGTTTAAAAAATAGTTTCTAAAATCCAAACCAGTAAAATACAGGTTAAAATTCCAATCCAACTTACAATTTTTGAAGATATAATAAAGATTTTATTGCTTTCATTAGACAATGTTAAAAAAACTTACATTGCCATGTTATCTAATATGTAATTTTGTAATAAAATCTGAAGCCAACAATGCACACTAAAACACAAAAAAGGATCTAACTCTGGGTGATGTACTTAGCACCCTAAGAAAACAGGAAAAAAACATATAAGTAGGAAAATCAATGTATATAATTGTCAAATTTCACTTTTCACTTTCACATCTCAGAATATAGTTCATACATGCTGAAATAAGGTATCTCTTATTTTATAACCTTTCTAATGGTGCTAGACAGTGGTATTTTATTTGATTTTCCTTGATGGAAGCTCATAGCAACCTACCTTTATAGACATATATAATCCAAAACGAAGCTTCATAAAGATTTATAATGAAGTAACATTCTACACTCTTGATCAGTTCTTTGACTTAAGAAAAATTGCATATGGGAAAAATTGAAATTAAACTAAGCAAACTTAGTAAACCAAGTATGATTATGCAGAGAGATATCAGTATCTTTGCAACAAGTTGGAACCTTTCACTCAAGTATCCCAATATTGGTTTGAGATTAGATGTGGACTATGCACCTTATTAATATGCTCAATAAAGTTTCATGAAAGCAATAGTTGGTGCATACATGTTCAAGAGAAATTGCCTTAATTTCTTACCATTTGGAAAAGCAGCCTATTTATATAAATTACTGTTGCATTTGAATAATATGAAAAGGCAAATGTTTGAACACAATTGCTGAGCACAGATACTCCAGCAATACTTATAACTCCATGTGTTTTGAAAACAGAGAAGCCAGGCTTTTGGCCAAGCGCTGTCTTATTGCATTCCAACTGGAAAGTCATAAACTGCTAACTCTTCTATTTGGACTCTGAAACTAATTTTTTCATACAATGTCCTTATTTTAGAGTTGACAAGGTAGAAGGTCACTGTATTTGTTTGCTATATGATTCAAAAAGATTCTGAAATTTAGCTGGAGGTTTGATCATCATAGCTACAGTATGAACTTTTTCCAAGTAAAAAAGCTGAATAATATGTATATGAGAATACATACAATACAAAAAAAAAGATTAAATCCAACTTTATTTCAACACATTTTTGTACATAGAATATGAATTTCTTTTGCTCTAAAACCCTAAAAACTTTTCCAATTCGTATCTTCATCAAAATTGGTTTGATGTGGAGAGGTAATTCAGTCTCCTATATATGCATGTTTTGATAAAACTAGTAACACTTTAAAATGCTTGTTATTTTATTCATTCCTCTTGTGAAATTAGCTTAAACCTATTTTATTAAATTATCTTAAAGGGTCTATAGATCCACAGGAATCCATTACTATTCTGAAATACTGAATACCTATAGCTAAGTAAATCGATTGTGGAAGTGCATTCTGATTTAGTCCCTGATAATATCCCTTGTTTCTCAAGGATATCATTCATTCATTCATTCATTCATGTGGATTTAAGATAAATGTAATTTGGTACCAAAAAGATTTAAAGACCTCTATGGTTTAAAATATTAAAGAGTGGCTAGCATTATTGTTTATGGCTGCAAAATGCTAATAATCATTCATAAGAATTCAATTAATTCAATTGCTTGAGCAAAGGGAAATTCAAAGTATAATTACGGAAAGAAAGCATGCTAGAATTTATAACACTATATGAAACTACAATGATCAATGATATAATTTGTCATATCCACTGAATGCTACCATTGCAAAGCATACATTTGCAAATGTAACTTTATACAACATAGTTGATAATTAAAACATTGAAACATGAGTGGAAAACTTCATAGATTACAACACTAATAATAACACTTTTGTGTGTGAGTGTGATTTTAATGAAAATATTCATTAAATCTTTTCAATTTAAAGAGTGATTCTGGTATTAAGGCACCTATATAGATTTATATATAGCTTTTCATGTTTCAGGTTCACTCTTTTAGGAAAGACTGGAACATCCTATAAATGAAGAACTAGTATTCTAAACAACAGCATAAACATTGTTTAATTAAAATATTAGCTGTTAAATAAAACCTATGAAGCTAAGTATTTGTGTTAATTACTGAATTGTAATTTATCAAATATCTCAATCATATTCCTAATAGGAAAAATGTATACTAAAATTACACGATTCTTCATACTTTTGATATAATTCATCTTGAAAAAAGATACTAAGAGTCCATGATTAAAGAATTTTTTTGTCACTTGTAATCTAAAGATGTTCAAAGCTAACACACCTTTAGGCAGAAGAAAGGCAAGGAGTTTCACAGAAAATTCAGAGGTTTCAGAACACAAAAAAGAACCCCTGCCACTGTCGCTTTGGACCCCCACTTTAACATCCCCCAGGTTGATAGCAAGTCTGTCACACACAGCCCATTCATAACCAAAACAGCAATCGCTTATGGAACAATTACTGTCAAGGGCTAAATATTAAATATTATGCACAGCATACATATGATCAATTCATTATGGACTATTGGTTTTACAATATGTCTACTTAACCTTCCATACAACCTTGAGACTGGTTGCGATGCGTTTCAATTATCTGACACACAGATGTTCAGAGCCTCCCTCCTTTAGGAATTTAGGCAGAGAATTAGCCATTCTCTTCAGCGCTCTATCACTCATTGTGCAATCATTTTTGATACCATGTTACATGAAATGCTATTCTTTTTCCCTATTAGAAGCTCACCAATATTCCATAAAACATTAATGACATAATCAAAGTGCCCAATATGTTGCGTGAACCATTCACAGCTTCATTCAATGCCATTTTAAAAGGAAAGAAGAAATCAAATGGAAGTTTCCTATAAACATCAGGTTGACCATGTGGTGACTCCGGCCATTTGGTAACATCTGTGAAGGTAACTGTACTTGTCAAAGGCAACATGTTCATATACATACCCAGAGACTGAAAGAAAACAGAGCATATAACATTATTTAGTTACTTCATATCCAGTGTTTTGAGGAAAGAATGAAGGGAAAAGGATAGGAATTAAATGTAGGACAAAAGCCATAATACAATTTGTTCCATTTTGCTTAACGTAATATGTGACTTTGGGTTATTTTTACTTATTCAACAAACTGAGATTAAGCAAATCATGGTTTATTGTGACTTTTGAATTCAGCATTATCTGAAACTAACCTTTAGAGGTCTGCAAAGGTAATAATACCGTCCACCCAACACTTGAGCTTGTGGATTAGATAAGAGGCCCACAGTAGCCCATATCACTTGAATCTCTAGGGAAATAGGAATCATACAATGCCCATCCTAGGAAAAAAAAACACCAAAATTTATGTAACAAGAGCCCTAACACTTCCTGTTGACAATCATAAGATCAGAATTACTGCAACATTTACATTCAAGTACAAAACATAATTCACAATACTACAAAGGGATACAGAATGTTCTGTCATCTCTATCTCTCCATTCATGGGAAGAACAAAACAATGTACAGCAGGCACATTGGGGCCAGTGGAAAAAAGTTCTTTCTGAATACAAAGCTGCAAATGTACAGTGACTGTAACAAATTATTCCTAGTTTGATACAGCTGAAAAAATAAGACAAGAGTATGTTTTGGTACTTATGACAAAACATGTATTACGAATTGGAATAGATGGAATTGGATGCTCTTTCTCACATTACCTGCAACTTACACCTCTGGGTAAAAAATCTGGTCCATTGCTCTGGATGGCCTGGATCAGCATTGCCAGTTATGGCCAAATGCCCGGTGCTAAGTCCTCCTTGGAAGGCTTGGTAAAATAGCTCCTGCAAGTCACTACAATTTCTTTCCTCAGGTTTGAAGGGTATACTGCAAAAGACCAAGCCGCCACATGTCACAAATATGAAACACATAAAAAATTAGTAATTAGAGCAAAAATTACTCCTATTAACACAGTGAGAAAGAACTACATGGGAAAACTAGCTAAGTTATAAAGGAAGGACAACACGAAGATCCAGCCCTTTTAGAACTGGAATCTCAGAAAGTAATTGTCTGGAAATATTTATACATCAGTTCTTCAATGGTCAGTGAACATGTAATATATGATGGAGACAACATTTAGCAAAAATCTTCACTTTATGTGCCAAATCAGATATAGTACATCTGAAACCTGATGCCATGCCCTTGTTGGAGGCTGATTCTGTGGGGGAGATTGAGCAGCTGACAGGGAGTGGGAGTGTGGATACAGTGGCTGTGGAAGAAACAGGAGAAGGGCACAGTCTGGCTGGGCATTCAGAGGAAGACCCAGGGCCATCCCCTCTTCATCCTAGGACACGCAGGGCGGAACGGAGAAGGGAGCAACGTGGCTTATGGGAGAGGAACGGCCTTGATCCCCTTCATGGGCTGCAGCTGGGAAGACTGTTTAAAAGGGAAAACTGCACATGGCAAAATTGCTGGAAGCAAAACATGCATTATCTTTGTCGAGGCTTATCTGGGTTTTGGCGTCTTCCCAACTGTAGGTGCTATGTTATCTTTTGGAAGTCTGCAATTTATCATCCTGGCCTGTCGTGTTAAGTACTTCAGCTTGTGTTGGTTTTTTTTTATTTCTAATTATCTTTACTTTGGATTCAAACTGCATTTCTTCCCTTCATAGACTGTTTTTGGAAGAGTTTGATCTCCAGCCAAGGATAACTGGACATTGGGAGCCAAGTTGGAGGCGTTAAAGGGAATTTATCTACTTTGGTGACTTCATTATTTTTGTGCCATGCCCTGGGTCATCACACCTGAATTAGAAGAGCAAAAATGTAAATGTCTATATAAAACGTTACCTGAATTGGCAGCCTGTTCTTACATTCTCCCCAAATTGTACTGTAAATCTCTCAGCTGCTGAGCACTGGCCATTAGCTTGGTTCTGTAAAATGGTTACCTGAGGAAAAGGAGTGTTATGAAACTAAACGAGAATATAGTGGAGCCACAAAAAAAAATTACAGACTGATACTAGTACCAGATACAACTTTTATCTATTATTTGTAAAACCATGATGTGAACGAATTTTGAATAATAAAACAGGCTGCTTAAGCTTTAAAAAAATCAACTCAGTGCCTTGCTACCCTGTTTCTCCAACAATACAGCCTCCCCCAATAGGAAGTCCCAGCATGTTTTATAGGCATGAAATGAAATTAAGCCCTTCCCCCCCAAATTAAGACCTATATTAAAACATGCGAAATGGGGGGGAATGGGGGGGGGCTTGCCATTAGGAAGTACTTTTGTTGCACACCCAGATATGGTGCTGCCTGCATTGACCCCGATATGAAGTGCCCCACCAATGCCGAGGTCAACATCCAAGCTGTCGCTGCCCGCCCGCCCAAAGATGCAAGGGGAGGGATTAAGTTACCCCTGAAAAGACGGCCTAGCCATTTTTTCGGGGCTCAAAAAAAAATAAGACCCGGCCTTATTATATGAGAAACACGGTAGTTTAGGTCAACCAGTAAAATCCTTTCCTGTGAAGATTTCATTATTCTTTTGGCAAACCCTCATTTAGAAAAGTTTTAAAGTGGTAAGGTAGCTATCAGGAATTCCTCTATATAACAAAGAAATAGGGAAGATTGGCAACGACCAGCATCTGGAGTACAACCAACTATTATATTCACAAAATTATTTTTGTTATTAAAAACTCTGACTGGTTGATATTAGTATTGCAATAATGTGTTCTCCTATGAATGTACTGAGTATTTTGCATGTATTTTTATTGTAACTGAAATGTAAAATTTATTGCTAAGTGATAATATATGATTTCCCTCATTCCAGTACCCACGATTACAGAATTGCCAACTAAGGATATTCCAAGTGAATCCCAGTTCTAAACATTTATACCACTATAAATTCAGGTTTTTAAGGTGTTACAATCTACTGACTTTCTGTAATAAATAACTTGGATACACCTCTGGAAAACTGTATATATGCAGATATATCAAATACACATTTTGTATACTGTCATAAAATTAAGAATAGGCACATCCTACAGTCCTACTTCCCTTTTGACTTTATAATAGATACATAATTTCTTGTTGATGGGTTAGAAAGTTTCTTAAAATTGTGGTATTGATATCAAAGAATAAAAAAACAAAGATATAGAACCTCCCAGCCCCACCCCAGAAAAAAGAAAGGAATGGAAAGAAAAAGAAAAAAGTATGGGATTGCACTCATACAGTTTGCTATTATCTAAAACTAAAACAAGTATTGGAATCACTGGATCAAAAGTCTATTACAGGCAACTGCTGGTTTTAGATAATAAAGAAATGACAAGCAAGTAGGTAATACTACACTCTTACTAGAGGTTTTGGGTAAAAATTGTATATAGTTTCTTAACTTGGTTCCAAAATGTGTTATTTGCATACAACTATGTGTTAATTTCAAGAACTGCAGGAACAGGAAACTTGTCTTTATTATGTTCTTGGTTAATAAAAGCTTCCAATGGACAATCATCTAAAACTTATACCCACACATCCATTGACAAACTTAATTTGGAGCAAGAAAGCATACATGTTGCTGGATCCCTCTATATAAAGCTTTTAGTGGCGCTCCTGTGATATAGCCAGGATTTCCACTTCTTCGTTTGGTCAGAGGAGGTCTTCTACTCTGTAAGAAATAGAAAAATGGCAGGGAAGGGGTAGAGAATGTTACATGTAGCATGCCAAAGAAATGGGCCTGACGTTTCTCAGATCAGGCCATGCATGCCCACATTTCTGTTATCCAGTACACCTTTAAAAATGCCCAGCAGGTGGCAGTGTCCAATTGACCTTTTTAGTACTCAGGACACTAATATGGAATCCTGTACCAGGAAAATTGAGAAATATCTTGGAAAAAATGCAATAACAAACTACTCTCCTACTGTGGGAAGAACACTGCCTGTAGCTATGTCTGTAAAGGCGCTACATGTAAAGAAGACTTTTTTAAAAGTAAAAAAATGAAATGCCACACAAAAGTGGATTGCAAGGCAACTCAGAAATTATCAACCAAAAATGAAACAATAGATCTTATAATATCAACTGAACATCCGTGGATGAAAGACATCCATATGGAAATTACAGAGAATTGGGAGAAAGCAAATAAATCATAAATTATGTTTGTCCAAATTATCAAATATTGAGAAGAAAATAAGGATTTGCCCAGAAATGTTTAAGTCACTCCATACTTCTGGATTTCTAGAGGTCAGATTTTAGGCATATCTGAGTTTCATACCCACCAAATATATTTTTAGCCTTTTTTCATCTTTACCTGCTGTGCAATTGATACACTGTATTTAAAGTATTTGCCCAATTTTTCTACTTAAAAAGAATCCCAAAGAGCTTTAATATGACATAATTGTTTATTAAAAGGTATTTTAATGAGTTATTTCAAAGCTATCTAGGCTAGTGATATAGACACTAAAATATATTATAATACTTGAACAAAATCATAAACCAGTACAACAATGAAAACATATGAAAAGCATACAGATAACAAACAAATCCCTCTAGATGAAATGTGCATGTGGAGTTCTTAGTGCTTTTTGAGCTTGTTTGTTTCCTTGCAGACATTTTGTGAGGCTAGGTAACCTCTTCCGTGGTAGAAGGGTGGGATTTGCTCTCTGTATATCTATAGCAGCTCACTCTGTAAGTGCTGGTAGGGAATATTTTTCTTCTTCATAGTTCCTTAATTAGGCTGTTATTTACTGCTTGATTGTTTATCTGGATTTAATCCCTATGTCAACCCTCCGAGTTCTGCTTTCTATGGGTTCATTACTTGGAACACTGACATCCTGCTTATTTGGGAAATTGATTACTGGTGAGGAAGTGTTGTGGTCCATTGAAATGTTTGTTGCAAGAACTCACATGCATTTGAGCAACATGTGGATTGCAATTTTTTTCCTGGTAATAGCCAGCCAGATAGTAATGTTTCCAAAACAATGAATACTTCCCCACTTCAATGTCTGCAAACATATTTAAAATTGCCTGCTATTCTATTACGAAATAATTAAGAAGCCTGAAACTTTGGTGGAACAGAGAGGAATGTACACTTCTACACCATCCTTGCAGCAATTTTCCAGAATGCAGATCTTTCTGCAATTGCATAAAGCCATGAAATTGATATGGAACCATGTCTACAAGCTTGCTTGGTGCTAGGGTTCATTTATCTTATTTATACAGAGTCAAAGCTATCGAGATGCACAACAAACACTAATCCAGAAACTCTTGCCGCTGGGTTAAGTACAGTAGAAAGTTTAGTCATATACTTTAGCCCAAATCTGAAGATATAAGTACTGACCCCAAAATGCAGAGAAAAATGTTGTTGTAATGTGACTCCTGGATTTCCAGAAATATTGGTCAATTTGAACTGAACGTAAACCTTTTGGATTCCATGGATCCCATTAAATTCTATTTCATAATTCACCTAGAAGTACATCAAACAGATCAGTAAAAAAATATGTGCTCATGGATAAGCTTTAGTTTATTCCCTCTCTTTTCTATTATAGGAAAAAGCAATTGTTGATGTAGCTAATAAATACCTCAGAAACAACATTGTGGCATGTATTACCATTCAGCCCAGGAACTGCAGGCTCCGAATAAGGGATAATGGGGACCTGGCAATGACCAAAACATATACTTAATTTTTTAAAAAATAACCTCACATGATTCCATAACAACCATTTAAATCAGAAAAAATGTAATTTCTAAAATTACTAAATTTCTAAAATGTTAACATTTCTAAAATTACCCCACATAATTTTGCACAATAACTCCCTTGTTTGCTTACCTTCTGAACTACTGATCCTAATCATTGTCATGGCCAATGTAAGTAATCCAGTTTCATTCCAAACCTAATTTTTTAAATATACCTAGAACCCAACTTCCTTTCCTAGTCCATATTAGTCCAAATAATTCCATGTTAGTTCAAAATAAGGTTTCCTTAAATTAGAAATGGTCAATAGTCAATATAATTTACCTCGAAGAGATGGAAATCACTAAAATTGACTGGGACCTGAAAAAGAAAACAAAACCCAAACTATAGATGCCTCATTTTGCCATAAACCCATACATTTCATAAATCTGAGGTCTTAATCTTCTTTACAGCCTAATTTTCTGTATATTTTTTCTCATTCTCTCAGTAGGAATGGAGGATTGTTTAGGAATACAGGTAGTTCTTGACTTATGACCACAATTGAGCCCAAAAATTTCCCTGATAAGCAAGACACCTGTTAAGTGAATCATGTGATTCTTAAACGAATCTGGTTTCCTGTTGTGGCCCGACAGTGGCCAGCGGAGCAGGCAGCAGATTCAGACAGTGCGGAGGTTGGGGAGAAACATGGGCCAGTCCTGGAGACTGGGGAAGGCTCTGATGAGTGCTCTGCATTGGAGGCAGAGATGGGGCCAGGGCCGCCTGACAGTTAACAGTTGCCTTCAGAGTCAGACATCAGGGAGGCAGAAGTACAGCTAGAGCCTGTTCCCAGTGGGCACATGCGTAGAGTTGCCAGACGAAGGGAACAGCTGAGGAACAAGGACTGACTTGGGAGTAAAGCCACAGGTGGATGTGAATGGCCCTTTCTCTAGAGTATAAAAGAGGAGCAAAAGGGGAGTGGGGCTTTGCAGGTGACAATTAGTTCATTCTGGCATGCTTGCCAAGTATCGCGGTATCTGAAAGATATAGGCCTGGTCCCTCTCCAAGCCTGATAAAAGTTTGTAATTGGGAAGTGTCATGAAAGACTGTTGGCTGGGACTGTTGGAGAGGAAATTCATTGTAAATCAAATAAAAAGGCTTTATTGGGACGAGGACTCAGCTTCGTGTTGTTGAGGGAAGTCTAGGTCAGAACACTTCCCCTTTATCAGAAACTCACAAATGGTGATCACGTGACTCTGGGATACTGCCACCATCATAAATACATGCCAGTTACCAAGCACTCAAATTTTGATCACATGAGGACGAGGATGCTGCAAAGATTACAAGGGTGAAAAACAGTCAGAAGTCAGTGCTATTATAATTTTGAAGGATTAATAAACAAATTATTGTAAGTCAAGGACTACCTGTACCCAAGTTTTTCTATGAGGGTATAGATATAACAATATTCTGATTGTTCCCAAAACTTGTCACAAGTGATCTTTGAGGAGCAGGTTATTCTATAACTAAGTCATGCACAAACAATTAATTCTAATCAGAGGTTTCACTACAAGGAGCTGTTCTTTCTACTTGCTTTAGTGCATAGAATTATTAATATCCATGTTTAGGTTACAAGATGAAATTTACTTTGAGAATAATAACATTTAGTTCTTTATTAAAACCTAACAATTGCAAGAAAGTAAAATAGAGATTTTATAGTTAAAATAACAATAAGTAAGTGTTGATCCTACATACTAGTATCTAAGTTCTAAGTCTCCTATTTATATATACTTTTACCCTCTAAAAACACTAATGTGGAGAAAGGGCTTAGGCTGATGTGACATTCTTGATATTAAGCCTATGTGCGTTTCCATTTTCTATTTTACTTGTATTTATTATCTTTTTCCTGGTCTGATCACATTTTTAAAATATAAAACATCTTCCAAAGATTTAACAAGGGAAATAATTATCTTTAGAAAAGTCCATGTCAAATCAGGACTCTTCCCTTAGTTATCACATAACTTCACAAGTGCTGTTGATAATACAAACATTTGTTGCAACTAATTATATGTATTATCTCTTTTTCTAGAATGCTAGCATTTCATATTAGTTGATATAATTGTCTTTTACAATAATATTATATACATTTTTATAGGACTTGAATTCCTGCCAGTAACAGGCCAATAGATAATATATTTCCCCAAAATTCCAATTTTCTATGGAAGAAAGTAGTCACTAAATTCACCTGCTCCTCCTTTCTTTCATGCTTGAAAAGTACACAGGCTTACTTTTACTAATAAATATGCATAAGAATCCATTGAAGTTGGGCAGCCAATAATCTTAAATTAATAAATAAAATAATAACAAAAATGATAACCCTTTGGACATCCTCGGCATTGACAAATTCACCAATCAATTACAAGCAAAAGGCAGTTTTACTTGGAACAGCTTACATCCTGCATCAACATCCACATTTGCCTATCCCAGGTCCTTGGGAAGGATTCGAGGCCGGCAAAAATGCCAAATTCAGTCTGAACATCTAGCTGACTGGGCAATGAACTGTAGTAATAATAATCATGATGATAGCTCTAACAACATAAAACATTAAAAGCTGCCTGTCCCAGGTTCTTGGGAAGGACTCGATAGATGGATAAAAATGCCAAATCCAGTCTAAACATCTGCTGACTGTGCAACGAACTCTAATAAACAAAATAGCAAAATAATAGGCTTAGTGATAGGTCAGATTTTACACCTGCAATACACTGAAGTTACGATAATATGAAGCTGCATCCAATGCAGGGTCAGAGGTACAACTGCTTATCAGGTCAGTGAAGATCCTAATACAGCTGGTAGTTTTACTTTCCAGGAAACCTAAGAAATGAACACACTGTAAGAGGTAAAGAAAGACAAACAGGAAAAGTTGACTTAAGTGTTCAAAAATGCAGTTTACATGTTTAACAGTTATAAACAGCCAAATTCCAGAATCTTATTTTTTGACAATGTCACCTTCACAGTTACAGTACATCTTTTATAAATTTCAGATTGAGCTTTGTACTTTGAAAGCTCTGACTACATTGTGACCTGGTAGTGTCACAATAAAAAGAGGATCACCAACACTTTTATAAATATCTATCTTCAGAATCTGCGTATCAGACTACATATCTTATTGGAGAAGCTTGTGCCTGACTAAGCTTTTACTTTTCTACCAGAATCTGAGACTCCATCTGGAATTGTGCGTTGTTCTTTTTAAATTGAGTTGTATTTCTATGTAAGACTGCTTAGGAACCATGTTGCTATTTATCTCTCTCCTAAAATGCCAATCAGTAATACAGTAGAATCTCTGGTCACAACCATAATTCATTCCATAACTTTGGCAATTTCTTCATCTTCTAATGTCTTGTCTTCAGGAATTTCTGGGTTGGGGTCGTGTTTGATCATCACCCGAGTATGCGTTCATGACCAAATTCAAAACTTGTGAATTTTCTGGTGGAAACCCGATTTGGTCATGGTCAGAAGTGTTCATGACCAGAGTATCTACTGTACTCAAGAATGACAATTAATAACACCCTGAAAGTTGACTCAGGGGTTTTGCTCTGACTAACATTTAATTTTCCAACCTGTCAGTACAGTGCTGGCAATACAGCATTTCTTTCCAAAAATGTTAGGTTGTATCTCAATATATCATATGAACCTAGCCACGGGCTCACAATTAAGATTAGTATGTTCCATCTACCACTTCTTCTTCTGTCTTATAAATTTGCTCACCCTTCATTTATCAGGAATCAAATAATGTATTTATTTTTACTAACAATTATGCAATGTTAAAAGCACTACAGTATATGGTGGCTTCTTGAAAAAATACAGTTAATCCTCACTTAACGATATTTAATGACAGCAATTTAGACTGGCATGGTGTTATAAAGCAACATCCCAATTTACACTGGCAACTTACACTGGCAGTGTAAGCAGTTTTGGTGTGCTATCATTAAGCAGATAGGTGCAGTTGTTAAGCATGATGTCATATGATCACCTCCTGCTGGCTTCCCCTCTGACTGCTTGTCAGAAGCTGGCAATGAAGGTCACAAATGGTAGTCACAGGACAGCAAACTGCTGCAATTATAATAATTGCAAGCTGGATGCTAAGAGGACCAGTTGTTAAATCTGATTCAGTGCTGTTATAACTTTGAACAATAGTTAAACAAAGCATTAATCGAGGACTACTTGTAATCAGTTACCAAATCCAATAAACTTTGTGATCTGTTACTAGAACTTTGCTAAAATCTCAATGCTCACCAGCAGGATTCTCATCAGTGCAAATCTGACTGGTTCCAATGCCCACAGGCTGCTTAAGCACACTTAGCGTAGATGATTCAGCATAATAAATCTGAATTTGATCCCCAACCTGAAATGAAAACAGAAGAGGTAAAAAAGACTAATTCCCAGAATAGCCCATACAGAAAAAGAAGTTAAGCATTAACTTGATTTTTTTTTAAAGCCAACATTTTTCATCTATTTCATATGAGTGAATTTTTAAATAATCTTACATTGCAAGCTACTAGGCAAGTTTTACCTGACTGAGATAAGGAAGACGGCTAAAATTACAAAAATCTAAATCTGGTCTGCTTCATATTTTCTCACTATTAAAATTTCTCAGTATTTTTTTTTTTACCAAGAACCAACTCACTTGATAAAAGGCAGATGGAGAAGACCAAACTTGTTCTGGAGGGGTGAATGATGGCCTTCCATATTGTGCTGAAAGTACTGGAAAATTTACTGTTGTTACCATCTGCGGCACTTGTAAATAGTTCAGTGTAGCTAAAAATAAAATACAGGTAGGGGAAGCATAACAATAACATCACAGCGTTAAAAGGGGATCCCATATTGCAAATGTAATAAATGTTTTTCCCTCTCTGTATCTTTTTTTAATCTGGGCTATAAGACCTAGTAGTTTTTCCTGTTTGTTGTCAATGGGCTTGTCTATACCTTTTCTGTCATCCTAGTTGTCCATCTCACTGGTTTAGACCAGGAGCATTTGTGCATCTATGCAAAAATGGAATAATGGAAGAAAATATTTGGCGAATAAGGTATAAGGAGATTGTATTCTTCAAATCAAAGATCACTTGCCCTTTAATAGAAACAAATCTACACAATGACAAAATTAGGGTCTTGTAACAGACAAATTGGCTTTATTTATGTGGCTCAGAGTCAAGTCATTTTGGTACCAGAAAATAATTGGCTATGAATTTCTGAAGCTGTAAGTTATAATACTACATAAACAAAATCCATTATATTGTCCTTTAATGTCCAGAAAATAAGCATAATGGTTTATATTTCTATTCCTAAAATTAGATTCAGAGAATAACTGCAATCAAAGAATGTAATTTGTTGTAGACAAAAAGCCAAACTTACAATCATTTAACTGCACACAGAAGAGTAGTACACATCCATCAGGACCTGGAAGGATTTCAGTATGGAAGGGAGTGTTATTTCGGAAAATCAGGGACTTTTCCAAACACACCTGACTCACAGCTCTAAGGAAAAATACAAATACAGAAAACTATCTTAAAGAACATTGTTTATAACAAACTCAGATTAACAATATATATTGAACAATGGGTTTCAAAACCTACAGCTAAATTCAAGTTATTTGGTTTTTGGTACACAATAAAACTTAACATTAAAAGCAATTAAAAAAACTGCACCTCCAATTCCAAAACTGTGCTTTTTTTACACAAAAATATTATTCCAATATATTTTCTAGATACATTTATTTATTTCAATTTAAGTATTGCCCAACTCTGAGCAGTTGACAATTTAATATACAATAGACAATTACAGAACAAAATGGCATCCAGTCATTCTGTACAAAAACACATCTAATAAAATTCTCCATTCATATTAATCCTAGGCCTGGAAAAACAGCCAATCCTTAAAATTTTACAGAATGCCAACAGAATGGGAGTCACCTGGATTTCATTCCAGGAGGCAGATATTGTCACAAAAAAAGGCACACTTCCTAGGTAGAATAGATAGATAGTACTGTTTAATCAAAAGAATCTGGAGGGTGCTAACTCTGGCCAAGCAGAAACCATGGGAGATACGACATCTCTCAAATAACCTAGTCCTATGCTATGTACAGCTTTATAGGTGATGACCAGCACCTTGAACTGCACTAGAAGCAAAGCAGAGGTGTCTCCATCACTGTCCATGCCATTGCCTTCTAACCAAAGGCTTCCAGTCTTTATAGGATTGTCCAGAAACCTAACTAAAATCTCGGTATTTCACCTGGTACTGCCTGGAAGGCAGAAAGAGAAGGGGCACCCAGGGGCACCAAAGTTGCATTCTGAACCACAGTGTGAATCACAACAGCAATTGATGTCGCAGAAGCCTGGATGCAGGTCACAGGGGCAGCCTGAGAAAACATTGGTGGGAGAAAGCAGCAGCATGAGCAAAGATTTTAAAAACAAAGCAAAAAAGAAAAACCAAAAAAAGTCGGTAAGGATAATTCGCTTCAAAGAAAAAAGGGGCACGTGCCTTTGCGACATAGCCCAGACTTCCTCCCAACTCACCAGCACTTTCTTTTGTCTGGATGCCGGGAGTCCTGCTTGGCGGGGTCCTACTCGGGGGGATCCCACTGGGGGAGGTCCCAGGGAGGGACGTTTCGCTGGGGGACGTCCCAGTGGGGGACGTTTCATCCGTGGAGTTTTCCGCTTTTAGAGTGACGTTGTCAGTCTCGGTCTTCGACCACAACTCCGATGACAATAGTAGCAAAGGGAACAGGAGTCGCCACGCTGCCATAACAAAGGCATTTCTGCGTTGCTTAGAAACTGAGTCGCAAAGATGTGACGTTTACCCAGAAGCCGACAAAACGTCACGCTTAACGTGCTTTCTATAGAACTAGAAAATGATAGAGTCCATGATAGAGATGGGAAAATATCTTTGTATTTTGACGCCGCGCAGCTTTTATGGAAGTTGTGATTGGATAGCATAACAGGTATCCTGAAGAAGACACAATTGTAACAAAGACACTGTCGTAATACTGTCCTATAAAGAAAGGGCAGATCAGAGATGGGATGGATTTCGGTTTGTATATTGAGCAGTAAAGCTTTAAATGAGCCTTTCTTAAATCCTTTTTTCCCTATTTTATCATATTTTATCTATCCTTAAAATAACCTCTCGTTTGATTGCCTCTTTTTCCAATACGGGGTTTTGTTTTGTTTTGTTTTTGCTTACAGGATGATTGAAAATTCTGAAATAACATACCTGCATGCAATAATGAGAGAATTAATAGCTTTAAATCTGAGCCCAATATTTAAGTATTTCAGTTATTTAATTATTGCTATTGTTATTTTTAGGTTATGATTTATACCACCTGAAATACAAACCGACCTCTGCCCCATTTCTGACCAGCAGTTTTTATAGAGCACTATTTTACAATTCTATCATAGAATATTCTATCAACTTTAGCCAGCCTGTAACACAAAATATTTACAAATGCTTCTCACCCATAAGGTGAGGGGATTGAAATTAGGCTGGTTGTACCGTTTCTGAACAGCCAATTTTATTAAAAGATGTAAGTTTTGGTGAGCTGAAGCTCACTTCATCTGAGAAATATGTAGCATGTATATTATATTTTATTATCCCTCCAACTGTGCTTGACTCCGAAGATACTGGGATATAGTCAAGAAATTTTCAGGTAATAGTATGGCACTGGTTTCCCATTGTCTTCTTTCAGACTGCTTCTTTGACTCCCCAGTTTATCCTATAACCTTGTATTTCCTGCTACTCTTCCATTCAAGTACTAGGCAGACCCAGCCCAGCTTAACTTTCAAGACCAGCTACATTTACCAGATATCTGAATGGAGAAAGGAGAACAGACAATTCGAAAGAAGGACAGCTGGAAAGAAAAGGAGGACACTCAAACTATTTTAACTTTCTTGGCAGCTGCAACAAAAATTACAGCAAATACTGCAAAAAATGTACTTAGGCCTACAGGTATGTGAAATTACTTTTTCCAGTATCAGAAAAACTGATTTTTCAATGGTAATATTTTTCTGTCAAAAAATTATTTTCAAGAATACATATGCTAGCAATAACATTGAATTGATGATGATATGCTTTTCAAATTTTACCTTAGAAATGTAAGGCTAGTCATGCAGTCTATTGACTACAGACACCATAGATTTGAAGTGGCTGGATTGAAAGCAATTGCTAGAATTAGGAAAAATATAAATAACAAATCTAATTTGTCAAGTCTGTTGATGGATGAGGAAAAGAAAAAAACAGACTATTTTAAAGATCACAATATATGAAATTTTGAATCATTACTGTTGTAAAAACAGTTCAATTTAAAAAAAAAATACTCAGAAAGCTGAGACATATTTGATTTTAAGGCTGTGCCTACTGAACACAGGACATAAGGGCGAAAAAGAGAACATTCTTTCCTTTTGCCAGACATCTAGTAAAACTAAACCCAGGCAAGTGTTGATCAGGTGTTGTTTAATCTCTCCGTGCCATAGAATTTGTTTCTACAAGAGGGTGTAGTGTGTGATTCCAAGCTATCACTTCATTTCAGAAATGCTTGTATGCCAGAAATTAGTTATGATAAACAATGGAAAGTTATTGTGCTTTGTGCTAAAGATTGGTATATAGTGTGATTGATTTTTATATTTTTGGTTTCTATCCACTCTTATGATAATAAGTAATGCTTAATTATTAAAAGGATTTCATGTCACTAGCAACCAGACGTGTCATACAATTCTTCATCTCTCCTTAAATGAAGAGCATTCCCAGTTATTTTATCACAATTGATAACTTTTAATTTCTTACATTTTTATAGAGAAAATGTGTTAAAGGTAAAAGAAGAGAGAGCTGCCATGATGTCCTTTGATTATGCACATTAAGAGCTATCCATCTCAAAGCATTCTTTCTGTAACAAATAAAGAAGTAAAAGGAAAACAAATGGGTGTTACAAATGAATGACATAGGTGTCTCATAAAATTTTGTGAATAACATAAGAACAGCAATCTCAAATGGAAGTATTTTCTAGACATAGGCCCATGATGGCGAATCTATGGCACGCATGCCAGAGGTGGCACTAAGAGCTCTCTCTCTGGGCACATGATCCTTCGCCCCAGTTCAGTTCAGCTCTGCTGTGCATGCTTGCCTCCTGCCGGCCAGCTGGTTTTCAGGTCTCTGCCTCACTTGCACAGGGTGCACGCATAGGAGTCCCATGCGCACACGGGGGCTGTGGCTCACATGTGGGAGTCATGTGCATATGCAGGTGGGACGCGTGCACAAAGGGCGTATGTGCGAGGACCAGGCATGTTGCATTTTGGGGGTGTGCATGCGCACATACACTTTGGGCACTTGGCGCCGAAAAGGTTAGCAATCACTGTCATAGGCCAAAGAAATATAGGGTTGAATGGGATTTCTATGGTTTTGTAATCCACCCTGCTACCCAGAGCAGAAATCTTTCAATCACTCCAAACAAATGATTCCAACCTTTATTTGAAACTCCCAAAGCTGGAGCAATCACAGCTTCTGGAGGCAACTTGTCCCACTACTTAATAGCTCTCACAGTCAGGAAATTCATCTTTATAAAGTTTGGATCTCTCACAGTAAAATTCTATCCATTGGTTCTTCTTCCCTAAGGGACTATGAAGAATAAATCTCTACTCTCTCCCCTGTGATAACCTTTCAAGTATGGGAAGACTGCTATTATGTTTTCTTTTAGGTTTCTTTAATCTAACTATGCCAGTTCATTTAAGTATTCTACATAGAATTTAGTCTTTATGTCCATTGCTATCCTTGTTCTTCTATATGCTCTTTCCAGTTCCTCAACATCCTCCTTGTATTGTGGCAACCAAAATGACACATTATTCCAGGTGCAGAGTGATCAATGCAGCATAGAGTAGAACTATCAATTCCCATAATCTTGACATTATATTGCATTCTAAGAAAGTCTCCCTAAAGTAGTGAATTGGCTTTTGATTGAATATTCATGAAATTGGCTATAGGTAGGGGAAGAAGAAAAATAATATTTGGGGTTGGAGGGATGGATGTTAAATAAATATAAATTTACAAAATGGGAGATAATTGGCTAGGCAGTTACATTTCTTAGAAAAACAAAAGCCAGGCTATATTAAAGAAGGAGTATATGAGATTCATAAGTAGTAAAAAAAAAAGCAGTACAAATAGGTGAACAAGTTTGCTTAAGAAGATTTTGGATTATATAGTATGTGGGAAAATATAGAATGAGGAGTTTGAATAACAAAAGATGGTTTCCAAAATAACATAGTTTCCATGAGAACTAGATAAGGCAATGGCAGTCTATTGGAAAAAATCCAGGATATGTGAGAAAATTGCTGAAGTTGCATGGTGCAGTAGTCAAGTTTTGCTAGAAAGTTTATATAAGTAGATCTTATGAGCCATCACATACAACAAACATTTCATGTTGGCATTTTGCCTTTATTTTTCTGAAAATCAAACCTAACCTAGTTACCTAGATTTTGAATTAGGAGTTATGCTGGGGTGTGTGAATGAGTTGAGATATTTTTTAGAAACTGAACTCTATATGTATTTTTGCTACATGTCTTGAGTCTCTAGATAAAAAGAACAAGTATATCTGGAAATAACCGAAGGCAATTGTAGGGAGGAGATGTCAGGAAAAATATAATAATTCAAGAATAATGTTTTTCTGTCTTGAAATTCATTTAATAAAGAAATGTTTTCATCCAACCCACTTGCTCCTGTTTAAACCTCTGAAAAGCATGAAAGAACATAGCATGAAAACTACTCAAACAATTGAGAAATACGAAGTTGCAACATTCAAGAGTCATATCAGTTTACTTCTCCATTTTAAGAGCTCCTGTTGCACATTTAAAAGTAGTGCTACAAGAAACAAGAATCGGGCTATCTTGGGGAAGAGTACAATAAATGTCATATTCAGAACAGCTATGTTTTCTCAGGAATATGCAGCAATAAAAATTGATCATAAAAATTCAAATCTTCAACATATTAGTTCGTCTGGTTGAAAAAAATCATACCACTCCTTGACTGAAGCAAAGTTATTTTTCTGCTATACTAGTCATGTTTAATCAAACAGAAATTATCCTCTTTGAATTCAATAGGCTCATACCAAGAAAAGAGCACACATAAGCTTTGAACCTAAACTTGTTATGTATAGGAAGTTCTTTCTTCTCTGATTCTTGTTTATTATTATCTATTCTCTGTTTTATAGAACTAAATCGTTCTGTACATATTTAGCAACGTTAACCCAAATTCTTGTATTGTGGCTCATCCACATAGTTCTATCAATATATATTGCCCCCAACCTCGAGAGAAATAAAATATGGTACTAGAAAACTAATGAAACGGTATGCCTGGGTACTTATTTATTTTAAAAAAAAACAGTAACTGCTCAGCAGAAAAGAAAGGAGGCAAATAGTAACTAGAAATGGCCAAACTAACAAATCTTAACAAGCATTATTCCTGAGATTCAAATCAAGGATGCTCTGTGGTAAGGGAAGTATTAGATCTTTTACACTAATAAGGAAGAGCTGCCATAATAGAATATGTAGCATGCATTTTTCAGAAAAAAAGTAGAGAAAATATGGTGATACAGCAGATAGCCTGTTGGATGGCAGGGGCTCACCTAGAAGAAAGAAAAATAAAGCAGGCAAACCAGAACGCAGAACTTGAGTCAACAAATACTTGAAAGCAGAGTAGGAAAATGCACCATGAGGGCCCATGTAAGGGGGTAGGGGTGACCACAAGGTGATATCTTCTATTGTTTAAGGTATGCGCATATCTATTTATATACATACATATATATCAAACAACAAAATGTTTCCCTAAGCAAATGCAAAATAATGAGGCATGGACATTTTATTTCCTCTGTAATTCTGAACATAGGAATTAGTATCACAAGGAAGATAGTTGAGGTATTTGCTATCCTCTGACTGCAAGGAGATGATATAAATGATTGGAAAGGGATTTCTTAAAATTTATTTTACTACAGATTTAAAGAATACATACAAAGTTTTAAAAATCCAAATGACACATTTTTTGTGACAGAAATAGCAAATTTGTGGGGAATGTTCCTATTAATTACAATTATTTTTATATAATATTAATTCAATGCGAATGAAATTAAAGCCCTGGAATTTAGTACTGGTCTCAGTTCCACTTCTTTGTCATGGCCCCACATACATTTTAGAATGTAGCCTTAGCATACTATTGTACTTAAAAGAGAAAGTATGGCCTTTGTGCCGCCCCACCCCCATTTTACCCAAATTACATACATCCTACTGAAGATGCCGAGGCAGCAGTTGTTATGTGATGCCAACTTTGGTTATGGAATTTTGTCATGGTCAGCCTTTTGTGCTCTAGCTGGAACAGGAAACAATGCTACTTCAGAGAAAAAAACCCAAAGAACAATTTATTAAGTTTTTTTTCCTGTTTCTGAGTTTCATTCTTTATCCAGACGTAAATTATATCGTGAGCTTATTACAATTCTCTTTTATATTTATATTTTAATATATCTTTTATAAATTGTATATAAAGTTTGATAGTTCCATTTTGGACTGGAATACAATTTAAAAAATGGATCATGATCAGATTTTTTCAAATTTTGAAGAGAACATTTCAAATTTTGGTTTCAATAGAAAGTGAATATATTTTGCACAAAGTCAGTTGTGGTAGTATGTCCCAAGTAAGGCAGTTTCTGCCTTGACAGTTAATTGTTGTCCTAACTATGCAACAAATCATTCATTTTATGAAAGAATTTTGTGGAGGAAGGAGCCTCACTAAATGCTGAAATTCTTTTAACTCTCTTAGGTTAGAAACGGCTAGTATTTTCATCTATTTAGATTGCAGCAATTTTTAGATAATTTTGAGATTTAATAATACATGTTTTAATTGCAATGAAGCTTGCATTACTGTAAAATGCTTCATGGGCTTGCACTTGAAAGTGGTATAGAAACTGCATTTTA